GGATATTGCTGCACTGGCCTATCCAGGGTGGGTGGAGGGGGCCTCAGACGTTGAAAAATGTGCCCCTTTTAAAATGTAAAAAAATAACCGACATAAATTTAAAGTAAAGTAATAATAAAGTGCCATTTCCAGCACCTCCAAGTCCCAAATTCTTAATATTTTCTCATTTTCTCAGCCTCATCCATGACGGGGCTCAGTTGGATATAGTAATTTTCGTAGTTTTTATGCCATTTTCCGGCATCTAAATGTCTCAAATTCTTACAATTGTCTTGTCATCCACCTTAGCCTCAACCATGGTGGGCTGAGGTGGATGGATTCGTAGTTTTTGTAAATTTTAAGTATCCAAGTGCCGTTCTTGGGCATCTACAAAGTCTCAAATTCTAAAAATTTACTCACTTGCGCCCAACAATGGGGGGGGGGGGCGAGCTCAAGTAGATATCGTAAGTGTTGTACTATATTCAAATTAGTAGTCATTTTCATGAGATCCGTGACTAATTTTAGGATACATTTTTTTCCCGATGGATTTGGCAAGGTGGACCAATTTAGATAAAATATAGCTCCTATATACCTCCCAGATATTGGCGGAAGGTCCCGTTTGGGGGGTGTTTTTCAAAATGGCCGCCTGTTGACTCGGACGCTTGTATCTCGATAAATACTGGTCAGACAGACTTTGGTATCAAACTGTTCACAATATGTATGTTCCTATTTGTTGTAATACAGCTTTTTATCCAGAAATGACAGGAAATATGATTTTTGAAATTTTGACCTTTGACCTTGTATTGTCATATTTTGGTAACTACTGGTCACAGAGATTCACAATTGATTGCAAATTGTTCAGGAGATTCATGTTTATATTCGTCTTAATAAAAAAATATTCAAATGGTGACCGGAAATGATACATTCTAACCTTTTACATATTGTAGGGTCATGCCATGTCAACCAGATTCAACCAGATTTTAAAAGAAATTCCTTTATGACCGTCTCAGATTTTGATGAAATTCCATAAAAATGATCAAAAGTATGAAAAACCAAAAAAAAAAAAAAAAAAATAGCCTTTTAGGATATGTAGTTTCCGAGATATTGACTCTTTAAAAAGGGGCGTGGTTCTTCAAGATGTGCAAACGCAATTTACTTCAAATTTGGAAGCTTATAACTCGAGATTGGTTAAAGCTATCAAGGTCAAACTTTGTATTCTAACTTATTTGTCTCCATATTTCACAAATATGGCATTAGACTAACAGTTATCCCTTCCCTTTTGAATTTATCTGCACTCAAATTATATAGATCTGGTCCCAACTTTGAATATATGCCATTCAATTTTAATTACTTTGATCAGCCTAAGCTTGGTCGTTTACGGTGACACATTCGCCGTTCGTGAAAGTCGGGCCGAACGGCAGACCCGACTTGGAACTGGAGTTCGAAAAAACCGTCGGCGGAAACGGATGGCAGAAGTTCGTTCGAAGGGAGACGTACAGACGGCTGCTGCTGACGACGGCGAAGAAGAGATACGCTTACTTGCGAGAGGACCAAACCGTCGGCACAGTCGGCATGTTGAACGTCAGGGACGTTCCGAACCGGGACTGGAAATTAGTGGAGATCGTGCGGACGCACGACGATCCTGCGTCGGCTTTGGACGCCTGCGTCGGTGCCGTCGTCGAACTCGCGGACGGTCTAAAGAGGACGAAGACGATATCGTCATTGAGCGTTCGCCCACTGTCGAAGAAGGAAACGAACGCTCCCAAGTTTAGGAGGGCGTACGCCGCGCTCAGTCTGTTCCGGCCGGCGCCGTACTACGTCAGACAAGAGGCAGCACCCGTTGCCCTCGAGAAGAGGTGCCCGTCGAAACCGGAGAACGACAGCGTCCTCGGCGTCCTCGCATTAGCCTGCGGTCGTGGCGCCCCAAATCGATTGCGAGATGTTCGAGTCGCCGTCAAAGGAGTGCCGACCAGGCTGACGGCCGGAGCGTCGGAGGACGGGAAACCCTACCGACGGGAAACGTTTTATGTTTACATAACAAAGTGATCAGAAGAATACTTAGAACAAGAAGAGAGACTTTATAGAGTTAGCACATTTTGTATATTTGATTGTGATTTACAATAAAACATAACAAGGAACTGCATAAAGTCTACTGAATATAATTCGAGTTATAACATCTCTTGCGGGTCAACATAGATTCCAACACGACACTTACATAAATCGGAGCTTAGTTGTTGGCATTCTTTTGCCAACACTTTCGTTTGTTACCATCAATTTTGTATTTTTCTGAAGTGACTGCGTGACCCTTTAAAATTTCTTCGCGACCCAAACATAGGGTATCGACCCATAGGTTGCGAAACGGAGGTCTACACTATCAAATTTTATGTGAAAAAAATGTGATGTGCCCATATATGGGTACGATGACGTAATATCACATACTATCAAATTTTATCAAAAAAGTTGAACAGGTTTAACTCTTATTTTCCATCACATTTTATGTGACGCTTTTTTTATGAAATTTAATAGTGGAGACAAAGCTATACTCTCTAAACAAAAGTAAGGCTTGGCCTAGCAGTATGGGGTGTAAAAAACCTTAAATATTTAATTCACAAACTTGATTCATGTTAAAATAAACAGTAAGAATGTTGTATAGTGACGCATTACGTGCAACATCGGTCATTTGGACACCAACATGGGATGGATGAGGGTCTTCGTTTTACGACACCCTATCTGGGTGTCTATAAAACGAAGACCGAAGACCAGATAAACGAAGACCCACTTTTTTTTTCTCTCAATCGTGATGAAAATATTGTTTATAAATCACTTGGGGGTCCTCTAGTAGAGGGTAACAGCGCCATTATCCAATCATTTATGAGCGGGGAATTTTAGCGGGACTACAAAATATTTCCCGTGCGGTTGGTGGCGGAGACTTTGCCGAGAATGTACGTTACATCCCCGACTAAGTCCCCGCTATGCCCGGGTTAGTGGGGTGGGGGGGGGGAACTACAATTGACAAGTCCATAGTCTAGCTTAGAATACGTAAATAGTTTCGTCGAAAAAATGGCTATAAAAATTTAAACCTTTTGAAATGCTCAGTAAGGAGCTTCGTGTTCCATTCATATATACACCTTTGTGCTCAAAGATCACCATCACAGACAATTTGAACGAGTAGTACACATACACTTCAGGTAGTAGGACCGTATAACTTCGCGACTGAACAGGTTCATCTACGCTGACTGAGTACACAATACTTGGTGTGTTGACGTTCCAATATTCTAGAGTGTACCCTTGTACAATTCCCATACCGCTGTGTGCATCGAAACTCCAAATATCACACGTAACAACAGTGGAAAAGTTTCCAAGTCGAGTAAATTTACACGGGTTAGATGAAAAGGATGGAGGCTCTGAAAAATATCAAGGATTAGCTTCAATTTCGACATGACAAGTAGTTTTTTTTTTACATGAATTTATCTAAATAGAATTAGCAAGTATCATACATTATTATATTATTATTATTATTATTATTATTATTATTATTATTATTATTATTATTATTATTATTATTATTATTATTATTATTATTATTATTAGCTACTACTACATTTGAAAGGAAAAGGTGCATTTTGAGAACGTGTCGGTTTAGAGGTGCACCTGTTGACACTTTCTCTTGTCTGGAATATTTTTTATATATCAGTATGAATTCAGTAGAAAAATCGAGTGAAGTAAAATATTAATTACTGTATTATTATCATTATTATTATTTACCAATATTATATTTAAAAATACTATATAATATATATAATATTTTTTTCACTTATATTATGTATAATATTAACTGTGTCACGTCTATTTCGAAATTAATAAAATACTCTCCAGACTGACTAAATAACAGAGATTATAATGGTGCAGTTTACCAATGGGACTGAATGCCGTAACTGGACTAGCAATTCCTTGTGTTGACACGCCGTCAATATCAGCATTTACTGACACAGTCACACTGTAAGATTGATTGTAATCTATCAACGAAATGCTGATGTCTATTCGAGTATCCGTTATGTTATCAATGGTTGCTGCTTCATCCGTTGATAACGTCTTCCAGTATTTCAACGCGTAACTGCTAGCATTTCTGTTACCAAAATCCTGATTTCTGTCCCAGGCTGTCCAAATTACACGGATACTTGAAGCACTGTACTCGACAGAGGGCGCATCGTACAACCCTGGAAGTGCTGCAAAAACATACACAAAAACTCTTTCAATTGAAATTGCTATAAGTCAATATTATTACTAAATTTTAAATTTAGCATTTTTTAATAAATTGATAATTATTTTTTACGATGGTTTACTTTCAAAATAATTTTCTAAATATAAAAATGCTTATAATTCTAGACTTATAGTAAAACAAATTACCTGAGTAGCCCGACCAGGTTTTGTATGCACTTTGAGGTCCAGAGAATTTGACTTCAGAAATTGGTTTAGGGTGGTCCAAGAATCATTTTTGGCTTGGTAACAAATTTTCAAAATGTGGTGAAAGGTCAACAGTTAAGAGTAAAAGGTCATAGCTATAGGATCGTCATATCTCCGCAACACCTAGTGGTAGAGAGTTAATTTTGGTGCCTATTTGTTCAGAACAGTCACGTTTCTATTTGCTCTAATCGAACATTTTGCTAAAAAATGACCGGAAATGCTGTTTCTAACCTTTGACATGTTTCAAGGTCATAGCAATAGGGTAATTATATCTCCGCAACCACTGGTGGTAAAGAGTTAATTGTGGTGTCAATATGTTCGGAACATTAATGTTTCTATTTGGTCTAATAGAAAAGTTTGCAAGAAAATGACCGGAAATGCTGTTTTTGACCTTTGACATGTGTCAAATGTCATAGTTATTGAGTCCTTATTATCTCCAAAACCACTGGTGGTAGAGCGTTAATTTTGGTGCCAATTTGTTTGGAATACTCATGTTTCTATTTGCTCTAATAAAACATTTTATTAAAATACCACCGAAAAAGCCGTTTCTGACCTTTGGCATGTTTGAAGGTCATAGCCATAGAATCTTCATATCTCCACAACCACTGGCGGTAGAAAGTTAATTTTGGTACCAATTTGTTCAGAACATCCGCGTTTCTATTTGGAATTATAGAAAAGTTTGCTAAAACAAATGACCGGAAATGCTGTTCTGACCTTTGACATGTTGCAATGCATATGCATCCCTACACATACTTGCTGTAGAGACTTGATAGTGATCTCAAATTATTCATTTACACATGTTTCTGTTTACTTGATTGGAACCTTTTGTTAAAACAAATATGGCGATACTGACCATTCACCCATGTTACAAGCCATTTATCACATGCGCCTGGTGTTGAAAAAGGGTTCTTATATCTTGGCAACCAGTGTTCACAAGGAGTTGCCTTTTGTGTAAAACTCCTTAAAATGTATATATATATATATATACACACACCTGTCTCTTATACAATGCCTATTTGCTTTAATTATATTATTATACTATATTAGCAGTATAATAGTTACAAAGATAAAAATCCACTGAACTCGGAGGTGCACTTCAGGTCGCTTTTGTATTATACATTCAATTAGGCCGACTTAGCAAAGTGTTAGAGCGAATAGAAACATGACTGTTTTGAACAAATAGGCACCAAAATTAACTCTCTACCACTAGTGGTTGCGGAGATATGACGACCCTATAGCTATGACCTTTGACACTGACCTTTTGACCTTTCGCCACATTTTGAAAATGTATTACCAAGCCAAAAATGATTCTTGGACCACCCTAAACCAATTTCTGAAGTCAAATTCTCTGGACCTCAAAGTACATACAAAACTTGGTCTGGCTACTCAGGTAAATTAGAATAGAAAAGATAGGCCTGTATATTTCTGTTTGAAAAACAGAACATTATGGTGTTTTTCTCATGACATAATGAGAAACGATGATTGAAATAATAAAGTAAAATAATAATGGCAATTAAGATGGCAATAATAATTGTCATCGCAATCAGCTTGTGGATCAGGCCACTACTGGCCGAGGCCTCCTGAAATTCTATTCCGATCTTAGTTTGCCAGATTTACAACACAGTTTTCAAAATAATAACGAAACATTAAAACTGAAATTCAGACAATGGCGTATATTTCTACTTCACCGTTTACAGACCAACTACTCTGCTTTACATTACAGGTTGAAGGAAAGTTTACCGACTTTATATAATTTGAGAACTGATTTAGCATAATCATGTATATAATATCCCATTTTTGAAATTACGAATTCTCGTGCACATTCGTTACCTAGACGCTCTAAATTTGCGATGATATGCCAGGTGCACAGCTCCCTCCAAGTTCAATGACAGACCATGCATTGGATTGGGATGGTTCTAGACATTGTCAGACCTGCCAACCCATGGGTAATGAAAATCTGGAGATTGTTTTAAAAATCTTTAAAAAAATATGGAGATTTACCAAAAATCTGGAGGTTTCCAGAAATAACCAAAGATGATGCAAGACACCGAAAAAGTCGATAAAGTCACTTTACTACAAATCATTGTCCGTCAGTGGCGAAAATGGATGCTTTTTTATTGCACCGCGAAGTGAGCAGGCGGCGAATACATTGAATAATAACGATCAAACCATATGCATAAATCGGAGTATTTTTGGGAAGGGGGTGGCCTGTGAAATCAGATGAAAATTAGATTCGATCGGGAGAACTGGGATTTGTCAGAATATCGGGTGACACCTGACAGGATCGGGTGAGTTGGCAGGTCTGCATTGTTTGCATTATACTATCCTCGTATTCGCATACTAGAATATCGAATAACCCATGTACGAGAAGAAAATGTGATTGCTAGTATCCATAATAGGTGAAGAAGACCAAGAGCTGCATAATGCCTGTGTAGTTTAGCCAGAACAGTTAGGCCTACTCGCAGGCCTACTCTAAGTTTGTGAACCAATAACAATGAAAGAAAATGCGTATGCTGCCATGAGGTTCTTTACAGGCCTACCTTTATTAGATTAATTTGAGGCAGACACATAATTAACGATAAAAATGATGTTGTTGATAATAATGATAATGACTATAGTAATAATCATGGCCGGCGGAAGCAGGGGGGGGGGGGGGGCGCCCCCCCCCCCACTTTTTGGCGAAAAATATATAATGTCACATAGTCCCAAACTCAAGAAAGAAAATTTAAGATAGATCGTTTTACCTAAAAGAAGGGCCTCAATGTGTAATGATGTTGAAAGAATATGTTTGTAATAAATAAAGCCATATATTCAGTTTAAAAAAAAACGAGTGTGGCCATATATAACATAAGAGCATTTCTTGTTGAGGTAGGCCAATTTCCTCTAAAAATTGCACATTATAGGGAGTTTTGATCAATTCCGACGAAATTACAATTAAAAAAACAAAAATCTTTTTTTTAATGTTAAAGCTTGTGCTTGCTCTCCTTTGCCTTCTAAGTTATAACACATAGTCCCAAGCTTGAGAAAGAAAATTTAAGATACAGGTAGATCGTTTTACCTAAAAGAAGGGCCTCAATGTGTAATTATGTTGAAAGAATATGTTTGTAATAAATAAAGCCATAAGGAAAATGCTTATATTCAGTTTAAAAAAACGAGTGTGGCCATATATAACATAAGAGCATTTCTTGTTGAGGTAGGCCAATTTCCTCTAAAATTGCACATTTAGGGAGTTTTGATCAATTCCGAAGAAATTACAATTAAAAACACAAAAATATTTTGCGCGCTTCGCGCGCATTTCTTAGGGTTAAAGCTTGTGCTTGCCCTCCTTTGCCTTCTAAGTTATTTAAAGACATAATAGTCCCAAACTTGAGAAAATTTAAGATAGATCGTTTTACCTAAAATAAGGGCCTCAATGTGTAATGATGGTAAAAGAATAGGCCTATGATTGTAATAAATAAAACCACGATGAAAATGCTTATAATTATTTAGTTTCGAACACACGTGTGTGTCCTATATCGTATTGTTGCCCTACGTCGTATTGTTTTCTATATGGTGGGTGGTGGGGGGGGGGGGGATCC